ACAGCACATGCACCTGCACCTCCGGGGGTGCTGTTTTCCAGCCCCGCCTCAGGGCCCTTCCCCCACACACATGCAGGCACAGTGTCCGGGAACTTCACAGTACCCACCCAGGAACCCAGGACAAAGATCTCAAAGGCTTCCAGGAGGATAAACAAAAAACTCGCGTTAAAAAAAAAAATCTGCATCAAAACATCAGTGAGTCAGTAACAAGGGAGTCAGAGGACAGCGGGTGAAGCCTTCTGACTCCAGGGCAGAGCCTCTCCCAGCTGGAATTCTGAGCCAGCCATCAGCACCAGGTGCAAATCCTTCCCATTTATCTGCTGAGGGGCCATGAAAGGAAGGGTGACTCCCCGACAGAGGGAATAAAACAGGACTAGAAACATGGGACCCAGAAAACGCAGTTTCAGGATGCATTAGGGGGCATCTGTGCACAGCTGAGCTGGCTGGGGGGGAGCAGAGCGGGACAAGGCTTCAGGAGGGTGCGTCGTCGACAGGAGGAACAGCCAGACTCTCGGGAAGGGGAGGTGGGAGAAGCTGCGGCAGTGGGGTACCCGCGTGCTGTCCCAGGGTGTGGCAGGAAGGCGGTGACAGCACACCCAGACTCAGCAAGTGAAGGGCGAGGCAATTATGAACCCCAGAAAAATCAAACTTGTCAAAATCATAATGATAACCCATGAACTAAAGTTCATGAAAAAGATCAATCAATTGGATGTCATTCAACTTAAAGATTTTTGTTCTTCTACAAACAGAAAAATGAAAGGCAAACCAGACTGGGGGAAAATATTTGCAAAATACATTCTCTGAGAGAGAATGTCTGTCTATAATACACAGGGAACTTTTGACAGCTCAATAAGACAGAACCCAACAAAAAAAAAAAAAAAGGGGGGGGGGGGAGAGCTGAACAGATGCTTCACTAAAGAGGTAAATGCCGGGGACTAAGCAGTGAGAAGGTGCTCAACCTGTTAGCTCATGAGAGACGTGCCCCAGCTGGAAGCTGCCCGAATGTGCACGCAGGAGACAGAAGGGCATGGGGCCCGCTCGGCACCAAGGCTGACGGGCTGTTGATACAGCAACCAGGGGGGTGACTTTCAAAATAACGATGGCGCTCAAAGCGGCCACAGAGCCAAGGTGAGCGCAGCCCACACGTGCACGCGCACGGCACAGTCTCGAGTAAACACAGGCTCAGTGCAGTGTGGAAAGCCATCGCTGGTCGCCAGGCATGGGAGGCAGGAGGGAGAGGCAGGAGGGACATCTCGGGGGCCCCAGGAAATTTGAGGGTGATGGAGCTGTTCGCTCTCTTCACAGGCATACACCCGTGTCATGCTCATCAAACTGCCCACTTGAGACGTGCGTGGGTCACAGCACTTCAATGAGGCCACCATCAAGCTGTGAACACACAGCGGCCATGACACACTGTGTGTCTCAGCTGTGACAAGGATCCCTGCCGTCATCCCATGAACACTGTAGAGCTGACCTTGAACAACACGGGGTCAGGGGTGCCGACCCCCATGTATACTTTTTGATTCCCCTCAAATGTAGATGTCACTTGGTGTCTGAGGGGAACTGGCTCCAGGACCATCCCCCACCCCCTGCAGATGCCAAAATCCACAGATGCTCACGTCCCCTGCGTGAAATGGGGCTGATGAGTGCACACAGTCAGCCTGCATCTGCAGATTCCCAGCCCCAGGTACAAACAGTAGAAGTGTTCATTGAAAAAAAATCCGTGTGTAAGTGACCTGAGCTGGTCAAACCCATGCAGTTCCAGGGTCAGCTGTACAGTGATTTAAGCAAAAGGTGTCATCGTTATATTGGGTGGGACAAGGGGACAGTATAAAAATGCTAAATCCAAGTCTCTATAATAAGAATTCATTAGCTAAAAAGAAGAAACAGGTAAACTTGCCCTTTTAGACATATGGATGCAAACAGGAAGAAAACGCATGCAGAGCTGAAGGTGGCTCCCTGGGGCGCAGCGGGAGGCGGCTTTTTAAACCAGGGGCGTGTGTGCTTTAATAAAATCCACGTCCTGATCATGGGACCCAGGCGTATGTGGAAACACCGGCCACACAAACATTGTACACGCTTGCTCACAGCAGCTTAGTCAGAAGGTGGAAACAACCCAAGTGTCCATCAGTGGTGAATGGACAAATAAAACGTGGTCCAGCCGGCGGAATAGTATTCAGCCATGAAAAAAGGAATAAAGCGCTGACGTGTGTACAACACAGATGAACTTCATAAACTGTTCCTGAAAGAAGCCAGACGCAAAGGTCACGATGGGTCATTGTAGGATGCCATGCATACGAGGTGGCCGGAGCAGGCCAATCCAGAGACAGAGCGGACTACGGGAACAGGAAGTGACTAGTGGGTACGGGCTCTTTCTGGGGCGAGTGGTGACGGTGCGCGCGTGTGTGGACGTGCTAGAAACCACAGAACTGTGCACTTCTAATGAGTGAGCTGCACAGCGCATGAATTACATCTCAATAAAGCTGGTACCAAAAGTAAAACCTGAACTCCCAGAGCTGGGCTAGTATGATGCAAGCACAGTCCTGGTTGGTTTCTGTCCCCGCTTCTTGACAGCAAGCTCCTGAATCCCTTGGAATGTCCTGGGGGACAGGCTAGCCTTTTGTTCTATGGAGGGGGCTGTGGGTGGCTTCTGGCTGGGGGCTGGTCACCAGAGAGACCAGACGGTGATTAGAAGTTACAACCTTCAGCCCCACCCTCCAGGGACAGGACAGGGGCTGCGGACCGAGTTAGTACTTGATCACGCCTCCGTGCAGAAGCCCTGTACAAATCCCTCCGTGTGGACAGAAGCGCCTGTGCTCGGACCCTGCCAGACCTCGCCCAGTGTACCCCGTCATCTGGCTGCTGGCTGTGGGCATCACTGCATCCTTCATGATAAACTGGTTAAGCCTAGGTAAGCACTCTCCTGAGTTTTGAGAGCCATTCTGGTGAGCTAGCAGACCTGAGGAGGGGGTCGTGGGAACCCCCAAGTTGCAGACAAATCAGACAGGAGTGGGTAAGTGGGGTGGGGTCCACCACTGCCACTGGTCTTGGCAGTGGGGGCAGTCGTGGGGGTCAGAGCTCTCAGCCTGTGGGGTCTGCACTGAGTTGGGGAGTGTTCGGCTGAACTGACTGGGACACTGGCGGGGGCCTGAGTGAACTGGAGACCTGACTGGTGTGGGAACCCCCACGTTTGGTGTCCAGGTGCTCGGAGTAGAAGGTACTGGATGTTCCTTTGGCCGGCATCTCCCGGCCCCCTCTGCAGACGCACAGCAGGAACTCCAATTTGGTGATGGCCCCACACTCCAAAGCCACCCCAGGAGAGAGTTCAAAGCGCACAAGCTCACGGAAGCCCCCGATTCAGGCCGGAGCCCCGTCGATCTCCCAGAGCTGTAGGCTCCGTCGGCACCTCCCGCGTGCTGACACCGAGCTCGAGGCCGTCCGTCCTGCCCACCAGGCTTGCAGTGGCAACGACCCCAAGGATGGCCAGCGTGACGTTCTGGATCCAACCCCCTCCCCCCGTCTCGGACACGCCTCGCGGGGACTGGGTTTTCCCAAGGGTAGACCCTGGCCCTTCTGTGTGTGAGTGTGACCGCAGGGAGGAGGCACGGCTGGTCCTCTAGCACACGTCTCCCCATGGCCAGCACGTGATCATCCCCAATAAGAAAAGGCGCCTCTCACAGACAGGAGGAGCCCTGTGCAAACACACCGGGATTGCACAACACCCGACCCCCTGCGGAGGCCTGTTTGTCACAAAGGAGTCCAGGCCTCCATCCACCCAAACGTGCTACCTGTCCTCACCCAGGCTGAACCTGCAGGCCTGACCACCGCAGCACCCCGCGTCCCCCGCCCCCACCCCCCGCAGGGCAGCTGCATGTGCACCAGGAGGTTTCCCTCCAGAGCCAGAGCTGGACAGCAGCACGGCCCGAGAAAGGCCAGCCCTACCCACGAGCAGCGCCCGGCCCCGGTCACTTGCTCGGCCAGGCCACGTCCGCACAGCCTCCTGCCCCTGCCCGCTCCGCCTCCTCCCAGCCCAGGCAGGTCCCATAGTTGTCTGTCAACACAGCAGCTGTGTTTTCACACTCGTCTCACGGAAACCTGGGCGCTGCCATTACTGTGCCTGGGCAGCACTCACAGGACACAGAGCACACAGCTGCGGGCCTGCTGGGGATGGTGCCGGGCGTCCATGTCCCCACACGAGGGAGTGGCAGAGGCCACTGCAGAACCCTGCAGCGGGCAGGCTGACTTCCGGTGCAGACGGTGTGAAAAGCGTAAAGAGGGAAGCAAGCGAGAGGGGCAGCAGCATGACAGGGCTCGGCCTGAGGCCACCTCCCGGGGGACAGGCTGCCCCCAAGCCTGTCGATATGACCCAGGGCCTCTGGTGACGTAAGGGCGCTCAGGACTTGTCACGTTTTATACTGTGCGCTTTCATTACAAAAGTAACATGAGCTCATCACACAAAACTCGCAAAACACAGAAAAATCATAAAGAAAACAAAAACCCCTCCTGGGAACCCCACCTGTTCACACCCGGGGTCTCGTCCTCCATGTGTCACGGGATGTGCACGCCCACTATGCATTTTTACAAAATGGGGCCCCACCAGGCTGTGGGGCTGCATCCTTGTCACTCATTTTTATACCAGAAATGCTCCCCACATCATTAAGTGGCATCATCTGAGCCCAACCCCTTACACAGCTGCCCCATATCAGCCACTGAGGTTTTGCCATGAACACCTGGAAACGTGGGTTTGCCCCCCCCCTCCTCACCTGGGCCGTGCTTCTCAGGGTGAGCTCCCAGCAGCACCTGAGGCTGCCCAGTGACCCCCCCTTCAGCGGGTGTGCACCTCATAGCCCTAGCCGGTCTCAGGGACACAGTCATTTTGTAAACGCTTCCCTTATTGGACAGCTGAAACCCGATCCCAAATCAAAGAAGGACCAGACACAGGACGGGATCTGACCCACTGGGCAGATCCAGCAATTTCAGGGACCTCCGGGGCGTCTTACCGAGTTCCTTGGAGCCCTGGCTCTCACTGGCCAGCTCGCCCATCTTCACGAGGGCATCGAAATAGCCTTTGGCAGCGTAGGTGACACCTGAGAGAGGAGAGAGGGGGTTACTTTCTCACTAGGGACCAACGTGGTCCCCGGGAGCCAGCCTCTGGCGGCACACGCTTCTGTCTGGTTCCGACGTCCTTTCCCTATTAGAACCCAGTGTGCGCTCAGGTGCAGAGCTCCTCAGGTGCGGAGCCTGGTGAGCAGGAGGGGAGGGGCAGCGCTGAGCAGACGCTGGAGGCAAAGACCACCTGAGGGGCGTGGGTAGGAAGCCAGTTACTCCAAGCGCGGGCAAGCCTGGAGGGGCCCCGTCCCACCATCCCTGGGCTCAACGAGCCCGTGTGGCTGGAAGTGAGTCATGCTGTTCAAAGTCACCACTGCAGGGGGCGGGAGGGGGCTTCACACCACTTCCCATGGGGCCTCGGGACCTAATCACAAGGGGGCCTGACGTCTCGCGGGACTTGAAAAGCTCAGTGCCGGCTGAACTCCACGCCGGCACCTGCTGCCTGGAGTACAGCTTCCTCCTTGGGGGGCTCGGTGACCCTTCGGAGACCCTGAGTGTACCAGGCAAATGCCTTCAGCTGGAGAAGAGCCCTGCCTGTCGCCACCAGTGGAATAATTACAATTCCTAATCCCTTTTCTACAGAACCCAGTTAGGGGCTTGTAACCGGGCACTTTATCAAATTTTATTTAGGTGGTTTTCAATTAAGCACACGCGGTTTGCTCTGCAGCCCAGGAGCACGTGCGGGCTCCGAGCCCAGCAGGCTGAAGTGTGTCTACTGCAGGGGGGATGGGCTCCCTAAAATGAAGAAAAAAAGGCTAAACTTGGCACAAGTCTGGCTCCGGGGAGGCCAAGTGCAGCTGAGGTGACGGTGGTGACGGGGCCCGCTGAGCTCTGTCTGCCGGGACATTCCAGGAAAACAGGCAGAGGGAGGAAACCTCCGATTCTCCACACAGTCCCCTGGAGAGTCTCAGAGGGGCCCAAGTGGGGACAGGAAGGTCCGGAAGGAAACCTATGTCTCACATCAAAGAGCCCGTGCAGAAGCCAGGGAGGCAGCTGGCGGCGGCCTGGCCTGAGACGCAAGGGGCAGGGACCTGGGAAGGAAGTCCCGTCCGCCCACGGGAAAGCCACCTGGGGTAAGGAGTGCCCACAGATGACGGCCCTGGAAACCCCATCGGTCTGAACCGTGCGAGGCCACGCCCGTGTCCCCAGCTGAAGGCTCTGGCGTTGTCGAGTCCCCGCCTGCTCCGTGTGCACAGGGAAAATCAGGCCCAGCCAGGAGGACATGAAATCCCTGTTCGCTTCCGAGGGGTGGGACGAGCTTTCTTGGGGAGCCTGAGGGTCGTGTGTCCGACACCCTCCATGCCAGCCCCCGGCCCTCCTGCCTCCTCAGTTCATCAGCATCGCAGACACGATGCAGGGTCACTCTCGGATGACACACGAGAGCCTGTCCTGGGCAACTGTGGGGGGAGGGGACCCAACGTGGACCCAACGCAGATGACAGCCAAGGACTCTGCTATCAACTCTTGGGGGGGGGGGCAGAGGTCACCGCCACAGCCTGGGATCTGCCACTGTCATTAAGACCCGACGGGCTGGGTCTCAGCTCCAGGGACAGCTAGCTCCTTCTGGTGGCTCTGATGGGACAGAACCGGTGCCTAAGGAGCAGGTGCCTCCTGGCTTCCTTGGGACCTCGCAGGCTTTTGGGGGCACTCAGAGAACCTAGTGGGGTGCTGGCTGTGGAACACCAGTGTGCTCCCCACAAGCAGAGGGCAGTGCAGGGCCCCGACCCCTACAGGACCGGGGAGATGGCCAGGGGCTGCCTGTCCATGCCATCGACCCCTGCACTGTCCTTCTGCACTTTTACCACAATCTGTGTGGTCACTGCTGCCGCTCCCTTTCGAAAGGAGACCCTGTGGTGGCGGTCCCCAAGCAGGAGGAACCAGGGCACAGGGCCCACCTGGCATGCCTGTTGCACGAGAGGAGGCCCTCTCTGTCCCCAGACCTGGCGAGCGGGCCAGACACCCCCACCTGCAGGGACTCTGTCCCCAGGTGACCACGAGGGTAAAAAGAACAAGAGCTGAGAGCTCCAGCCTCTCTTTGCTGCTGTGACCTAATGGCCCATGAACACAGCCCCCACGGGCAGCTGGCAGAGCTCAGGAGACACAGGCCCCTCCCTGCTCATCAAATGCTATAGTTAGAGTGACGCCCTGCCTCCCAACCTGGACAGACACGGTCAAGGGCTGAGGGCCAGCGGTTGATGCCCAAGAACATGGAAGGCTCTCCAACTTAGTCGCCCCGTGGCCCCTGCCCGAGCCACACACCCCCAGCACCCTCTGTGTGAGCCGCATACAGGTCACTCGCCAGGGAGGTGCTGCTGGCCCCCAACCCAAGGCCACCGCAGGCCCTGACTGCTTCACCTAAGCCTAGTCCTACAGCCTCAAGACAGATGCAGGACTCAGACCCCATGCTCTTAGCACAACCGTAGGACAAGACCACGGACAAAGCCGTCCCCATTATCACGGGGACAGGGCTCAGTTGGTCGAGCTTTGTCTGTGGGACGAGGTGCCTCCTTCCACTCTCATCCAGCTGCTGAGACGAGGCCCCCGCACCCCCTTACCTGCCAGGGCTTTCTCATAGTTCTTCCCCATGGCGATGAAGTTCCTCAGGCTGGGGTTGAACTGCTCCATGGTGGTCTGGGGGAGAGCAGAGAGAGTGCGTCAGTGGCACGGGCAACCGGGCGACCGTGAGGACCAAGAGTGGGGGCGCGTCACCTCCCAGGGGCCACAGCCAGGCTTCCTTGGTCCAGCCCCAGCTGTGCCCTTGAATGCCCTTGGGCAAATAAGCTTTTCACATCTATACTGTGGGGACAAGAACAGAACCTGCTGCAGTGGGCTTTGCGGCCTAAACAAGAGACTAGGCGTAGGGCGCCTGGGGACAGTACGTGATGTAGGTGGCACTCAGGCGCAGGGCTGCCGAGGTGCCTGTCCCTGGCTGGCAGGGCTGAGTCAGTGAGGAAGGCCCTCCCGCCAGCCACACAGACAGGCGCCCGGCGCCCCCTCACGAGTCTCCACTCAACACGTCAATTACCAGACAGCGGCTCTGCCCGGCCCCCCGGCCTGGTTCGCTAACGGCACGCCATGGACAGAGCGCCAGGCTCCGGGTCTGGTTGCCCGATGTACTGAAGTCTCGGTGCCAATGTCAGCAGTTCTTAGACTGAAGAAATTAGATTTTTCACTTCCAAGGCCAAATACATGTTTTAATTACAAGGCGTAATCACAGGCATGCATACACAAGAGCCAAGTGCGGTTCTCCCGGGGAGTCTGCCCTGACTGCCGACCAACAGCCCCAGCCAGACGCTGGGAGGAACTTTCAGAGAAAAGCCCGGCTGGGCCGCAAGCTCTGCCTTCAGGCCCATTATTACAAGCCGCGTCCGACCTTTCCTGAGGGTGAGAGGACCATCCCCGGAGGGGGAACCGCCTGGTCCTGTGGCAGACCACGGAGGCCCAGGAGAGGCCATGGCGCCCTCCCCGCCAGCCCCACGCTGTCACTGCCCCAGCCCCAGTAAAGCCCTTCTGTCCCTGCTCCTGGCCCTCAGCCAGCGTGACCAACACCACGGACTCTGAGCAGGGCCGGGGGGGTGGGGGGGGGGATCTGGCTTCAGAAAACCCGCCACCTGGCCCTGCTCCATCCACCTTCCCTGCGGTGCGGCCAGGAGCGTCAGCACAGAGAGGCACCGAGGCCCACTGAGAGGTGCCCACCAGGCTCTGCGCTGTCTGGGGGACCTGGGAAGAAAACACACAGCTGAGTCCACAGGGCAGGGGCGGCAAAGGTCAGGACACCTGCTGTGATCACCAGAGCTAAGGCACACAGGGGGGCACAGCAGGGACCCCAAGGGACAATGTCCCATCCCCACGGAGCCTACAGCTCACTTGCAGGTGGGGAAGGGAGCCCTCAGCTGAGATGGGAAAGCAGGGAACTGAAGCATGGCGTGCAGGCGAGGGAGACGCAGGCAGGACAGGGCAAAGGCCCAGTGGGCACATCAGGGGACAGTGTGACAATGTGCAGCGTGAAAGGGGGCAGGGAGCGGTGCAGTCATGGGCCAGAGAGCCAGAAGGTCTAACAACATTTCAGAAGGACCCTGTGGCTGCTGGGAGGTCGACTGTAGCCAAGGGCACCAGCAGATATGGGGGACCCGTTGGAGCTGCTGAGTGATCTCAGAGGTGACGGTGGGAGTGGAGCAGGGCTGCCCCACAGGTCCTGACCACAGTGAACTCCGATGTGGGGCAAACAGGGTATGATGGTTGGGGGGACAGGATGCAGGCCGCTGGCCTGGGGACCAGACCCCACAATGGGGAACCCAGAGGCTGGACACGTCATACCTAGGGAGTGCCTGCAACTCGGGGTGGGGACGTCACATCATGGGCAGCAGGGTAAGACAGATGGCATCTGGGGAGGACTCTGAGCGGGAGGCCAGGTCTGGGGTTATCAGCCCAGGGATAATGCACAGGCCTGGCTGAGCTCACGGCCAGGCTGCTCCAGCCGCCAAGCAGACTTCATCGGGACAGAGAAGCCTCCACCAGGGCTGGATGGAGTTCATGCAAATGGAAAGAGCAGAGGCCAGGTGTGAGCCTAGGGAGTGCAGGTCTGGTCCTGAGGCTGGTGTTCCGGTGTGCATGTGTGCTCACATGTGAGTGTGCATGTGTGTGTGTGCATGTGCTCGCATGTGAGTGTGCGTGTGTGTGTGTGTGCTCGCATGTGAGTGTGCATGTGTGTGCTAGCTTGTGTGCCTGTGTGCTCACGCGTGTGCCTGTGTGTGTCCATGTGTGCACGTTTGTGCACAGAGTTTCAGCACGTGTTTCTCACTGTAGTGACAGATGCAGGTCTGAGATGCTGCCCTAGAGGGTGGGCGTTTGAGGTCCTGTGCTCTTGGGACCTGGCGGGCCAAACCCCAGTACCTCAGCAGCCCCCACCCCTACCCTGGCCCCATTCGGAAGAGGAGGCCCCACCCAAGCTCATCCTCTGAGCCCATTAACATCCTGAGCGACAGCAGGAAACAGGCCAGCAGCCACCAGGCCAACCAAGGGGATTACTGTGGCGGCCCACCCACGCTCTCCCATTGACACATGGGGACAGCTGCCAGGTTTCACTTCCTTAGCACAGGGGCTGAGCTCACCCACAAGGAATGTGGGAGCAAGTGGGCAGGACGGGCACTGGGGTCCCAGCCAGGCCACCTGGGCAGGGCAGGGCCTGTGCTCTGCTGAGAAGGGGCGGTGGCCAAGACACTGGGCCTGGTTGCACAGGCCCCACTGTCTCGCCTGGAGGCTGACGCCCTGAGGGAAGGAGCCGTCAGAGTGCAAACGTCCACTCCTGGCCTGGGCGGGCTCACAGTGAACGGTCACCCACCCGCGTCTGGGTCACTGGATCTCCCGGAGCCACGGCAGCCAGAGACCAGCCAGGTCCTTGACGACTTCGTTAGGAGGGAGCGACCCCAGTGGCCCATGAAGGGCCAGCCCCTCCAGTGAGGGGGGTTCTCACTAACAGCATCTCTCAGACCCCAAGTCCCTGGCCATTCCAGGGCTCACACAGACCATCTGGACCACTGGGCTGTGCTCTGCCCTGGCCCAAGATGAGCCCAAATCACCCTCAGAGTCCTTGTGAGGGGTTCCTGACACCCCTGGCCTGGAAAAGCCCACCATGGGTGAGTACTCTCCATGCCCACCCCCGCCCCCACTCCCCGAACCAGGGCCATGCAGCCGCCGCACGCACCCACCAGCAACCTCGGGGCCCTGGGAACCGAGGGAGGCAGGCGCTCCACTGGGTCCTCACGCGCGGGAGGGCTCCGTGGGTTCGTGACCACACTGCACTGATGGGACAGCTGTAGCTTTTTGGGGACTCTGTGATCGGAGGGAGCTGACATCCAAACACATTAACACCCTCCACAGTGCGTGCCATAGGTTGTTGGGTTTAGAAGGGGGAGAGAGTGTCTCTTCGTTACTGACACCAAAGGGAGGATGCAAATAAAGCAAGGCCCGGCTGCTCGCCCCAGCAGAGAGGAGGAGCGGCCTCTGCTCAGCCGGTGTATGGGGGGACCCCACACTGCAAGGCTGTGTTCCTTGGGCTGCAGGCACCCAGGGCCTCAAGGTGCTGGCCTCATGCCTGTCACAAAACTCGGGGCTCTTGAGAGCCACGGGGTGCACAGAGGTGCCGCAGGACCCCACACTGGGACCACGCGCCCAGCCAGGGCTGAAATCCTGCATGAGCCACGACCAGCACTGTCTTCAAACTTGGGTACCTGTGCTACGAAACCCCGAAATGCTGTCGCCCGTGGCGGCTGTTTAGTCCCTGGGTAGCTTTTCTGGGCCAGGAGCTACGCTGAACGAGGCCACGTCCTCCCTCAGTCGCTGGCTCCTTCCATACTGGTTACGGGACACCTCCCAGCTGCCCAGCAAACACCCCACGGAATGCACACTGTGGGGGGGTCAGGGCGAGAAGGGGTCTCTGCCAGAGATGCTCCTAAGCTCAGGCACGGTTGGTTCACGGTCACCCTCTTCCCGGGATGTCACAAAGCTGCCCCTGGAGTCACAGGAAGCCAAGTCTTAAGCACATCGCCACTGTGGAAGTACCCGGCCGCCCTGGCCAGCCCCGGGGACCCCAGCCAAGACCCCAGCTTGCATTCCTACAGGAGCCAGTGGGAGGGGCCGAGTGCAGCTGCACAGGTGGCCGTCTGTCCCCAGGACCGGATAGGCCGCGAGCCCTGGGAGGCCTTCCTCCTGCCTGGCCTGCTCCTGGCCACATCCTGGACAGTGACAGCCATTTTTGTTTTACTTTGGTCATGGGTCTTCCGGACAGCGAGGACAAAGGGCAGCACAGACCACCCCCCAACTCTGGGGACTGAGGGGCGCGGCCAGCACATTTCTGGGAAGGCGCTCTGGGGGGGCCTGTGTTCCTGTCCGGGGCTTCTGTTTATTCCTGGGCTCTGATTCCCAGCCCCTCCCCAGCACTTTCCTGGCGGGGCTGCCACAAACAAAGTTTCTCTGCTGACAGACAGAGAGGGAACGCCATGCCTTCTGCGTCCCCTCCCGTCACACACAGTGAAGGAAGGACCGGTGGCCGTCCTGGGACGTGTGTGGCGGAGCCAGGCTGCGTTTTCTCTCTATGCATGCCACACCTGGAAGGACAAACTGAGGGACGAGATGACGCCGGGACCCCACCTTGCTGCCTGGGAAGCGGTGGTCTTTGCACCCCCACCACCTGACCCGTCTGTGTCACTGCCCCATTTTACAGGTGGACAAAGAGAGGCGTGGGGAGGTTAAGAGCCTGACTGCTGGTTCCTGGTGGAGCCACAGGCCAGCCGCACAGCCGGGCCCATCCCTATCGCCACACGGGCCCCAGCACTGTCCTGACGGGGCTGCCAGGGCTGGCAGGACAGGACCAGGTGCCACCAGGCAGCCCCGCCTGCCCAGGGTTCCCTCAGAAACCACGTTCCAGTGACATCACAACAAGGGTGAGGGCTGAGGCTGCTCCCCCTCCGTGTCCCCCTCACCTGCTCACCCAGGGCACACAATCCCCAGTCTCCATGGGCCCCGGTGCCCAAATGCCCCGACGACCTGCCCTCACCTCCCACCTCTGTCAGGACTTGGCAGGATAAGCAGGTGCCAGCTCTGGGCAAGCAGTGCAAGTCCCCTTGGTGCCA